GTTACACATATCTGAAATTCGTCCAAAATCTTATATCGCACGCTTCCAGCGGATGAAACTGTGGACCCACCGTTACAACAAATCTACTCTACTAAATCTAAAAATAAAGAATTTTGATAAGGTGAGACCTCCAACTACCGAAAGGTTTATTTGACGGGCAGCTGCTTTGAATGACTGCAAACAGAATACAGCTACAATCTTGGCACTGCTGCAATGCGGATTAGTGTTTGCACCGGTCACAACAGAAATGAAGCGAACCAACCGAAAGGTCGACCGACCAACCGACTTTTGGCAGAGGTACAGACAGACGACTCAGTCACTTTTCTGCTCAACTTAACTGAAAGGTGCTTCATAAAATAACCTGGATTGCCTTAAAACCATGCTGCTTATATTACAGAGATTTTTTAAACGATTTCATTTAAATATCCAACCGTTAATTTTCGTGATAGTAATCACCACTTTATTACCTTTATGAATTTAATATTCATGTTTTCCAATAAACCAGCCATCGATGCACTCTATCCATAGTATCAATATCTACAGTAGGCTGCGTTTCTCTTTGTCCCACGTAATCGAACACGACGCGGTATTTAAGTGCAACAAATGTGACTGTGAAGTTACTGTAAAATTTTAGTTTCTCTTGCAGCTGCATAGTAATAAATTTCACCTACTTTTGCTACAAACCAAAGATTCCAGTGCTAGCCAAAACGCTTCCATAACCGGTAATCTGAATAATTTCGTTTATTTTTTTAAACGCCCGCAATATTTTTCCGATTGAAACGCATTAAAAGATCCTCAGCTGTTCTATTCAAAATCAAGTATGCGGTTTTCCCATTATTTACCACAATGTTATGACCCCAAAACGATAATTCCTATAAATACTGCGTAACGCCAAAAGCATACCATATCGACTACGAGTCGTGCTGTAAGTATCTTGAATGACGACGGACGCAGTTATTATTTTATCTTTATTTAATGTTAAGTTGTTGTTGACTACTTTCCCATGTATCTTTGGTTCTGGGAATACTACAAATCGAACGTAAATTCCATTGCCATGTGCGTTCACGGATGGGTGGCATATGACAACGAGCTGGCCACACGGTGCTAGTGTGCTAAGTGTACCTCGTTTGGCGGAGGCTTCCCTGTTGACTGGATTCAGTGCTGCCGATTGGGATACTTGCAGTTCAGAAAAATAAATTATTGTTATTGAATGTTCCCGCAGATATCTAGGACAAACGCCGGTATTGTCTCTTATTTTATACCATAAAGCGAGATAGTTTACACCTATGGCACGGTTACAGATTAAACTTTCCGGACACGTGTTTTGTCTTATATCCACAGCATCCCACCGTATCCCACGGGCCACAGTAACCAAGAGAAACTATATATCTTTCCGTCACCCTCCAAATGCACTGTTTTTTTATTACTGCCGTATCCCATCGTATCTCTGCTATATCCTTTATGTATTACGAAAGTATTTTACTTCAACCGCGAAACCAAAGGGATACTTGATGAGATGCAATAAAGAAACGTTAAGATACATTGGGATACTGCAGTTACTGAAAACCCCAAAAGCTGTATTTAGCACGACACATGAAAGATACTGTGGGATACGTTGGGTACTGTGGCTTTCGCAGGTGACGCGCATCCAAGTAGGCGAAAATTGGAAATACTGTAAATGTAGTCATTCTTTTTAACTAGGGTATCCCACACTCAACGTATACTTACGGTATCCTTCGTTTATCATGTTAATTTTCTAATGTTTCTTATGTTTTCTTATATTTTCTCAGGATTTGTTTCAACGCTGCCGTGTTTCATGAACTACGATGCGCAGCCGAAGTATACATTCGTCATGGAATTTATGGGCTTTGATTTCCCGCTGTTATTTGTTATACCCAGCTATCTGGCTATTTTCACCAAGCGGTCGCAGAGATTGAGGGAGGAAAGCGGGAGCCGACAAACTAATACTCATGCGAATGATACTCACGCTTTCGCCAATCGTGCTACAATATTTTGAAATTATGCTCAGGTGGAACTCAGTCAACAAGTACGATGGAATCTGGAGCAACGGAAATTAGTATGTCCAGCGTTGGCATGCCAGGCAATCAACCTAGCCAGCTAACGGTAGAAGAAGCTAAAAAATAGCAATTGTTCACGCTGCTGGCCATTTGTGACCCCGTTTGCTTCGTCTCGTCGACGATCTATTAGCTGTCCGTAGAATTTGATGATTTTTGGAACGATAATCTGAAGTATCTGGGCTGCATGTTTAACCCTATCATCTACCACGCAAGTTTACCTAACCTGCAAACAGCTAACAAAATTATTTTGGTTTTAACCAGTGCAGTTGTTACCAACATGTTCATTGCATCGCGGTTTTAAAAGACGACGGTTATTTGATGGCTTGAATGAACCACTTCACTTCTACACAAAAATAATCTAAATAGTGCTTTTGTTCACTATGGAAATAAGGAAACGATGCCATTCTCAAATTACTGACACCAAACGCAAACAATTTAAAAGAACCTGATGGTCACCAAAAATCGTGACTGTTATCTGCGTAACAGTTAGCTGTCGAACAGGAATTGTCAACAAGTTTGACTTTAATTTTTCAAAAAGTTTATCAAATGCTGTTTACTTTTCAGAGAAACACCTCTTTCACCATTTACCGTATTAAATAGACCACGTATTTGTTTTCAAATATCTACTTTAATTCTAGAGTATTCCCTGCTGGGAGCTCGATAAATGCATCATAATTATGCCGATCGAAACGTAAAATTTTAAAATGCCACCAAATTACTACGTAACTGCAGCCTTCCTGACAATTGCCACATTATATGGTACATCTAGAGTCCAAAAACAACGCAAATAATGGAACACGATGCAATCAATTTACGGCTGGCGAGCAACAAAATTTCTTGACGTAATTAACTCATCCAGGATATTAGATATTCTATTAAATACCGTGTTATTTACAGCATGGGCAAATTTGTGTAGAGCGCATCCGGCTCTGGAAAGTGCCGTTCCAAAGGAGATCTCTTATTACGCTGCCTTGTCACTTGTCACTCGGCAGAGATAACGGTAATTTCATTTGTCTGAATTTCGAAGTGCACACTTTTCTCCATACACAGAACTGGATCTGAAAGTTGATCATGCGCGCAAACGATCAGCGCAAACATCAGTACTTATTTCAGCACCGTGCAAGTTGCAGCAAGGTCTGACTTACTGTTCATAGCATTAGTGATTCTCGCCGTGATTACAGACTGGCAGTGTGTCATTTTGACGTCACCAACGGACAGGGATTTTACTGTGCGCCAACAGGAGAACTACGCATGCGCTCTGTTTTTGTTCGTGTGCTGTCATATGGGCGGTAGTGTAATACCGTGGTCATAGCACTGGCGCTTAATTTGAGAACACTGTAAACTTTTTATCACAAATTTTTTCCCTGTTTGCAGAGAATGGTTTTCTGCGAATTTTTATGTATCCGCCCAATTAAAAAACAGCGTAGTTTGCGAACGCGCGCTGTTTAAAGAGTGCCGGGATAAGCACTTGTTGTTATGGGCCTATGATGACTTCCCGGCGCACCTTAGGCGCACGGCTGCCAACCGCCGCAGGATGCCATCCTGGCAAAAATCGTCAATTGGAAGTCTATTCCGAAGTTTACTAAGTCAAACGGCGAGGTGTAGTGGTGCACCTCGACTAATATCTTTCTATACACAGCCGCTCTATGGCTCACCCGACAAAAAATATTACAGCCAACATCACCGCTCCTCTAAATCTTACTGCACGCCATAATATATCATATTCTGTCTTGGACTTTCAGAGATTACGCGCCTCTTTACTAATACCAGCGTATACTATCTCTCTGGTTTTCTCAGTACTCGTTCTTGGATATTTCGGCTATCACCGCTCTTTGGCTTCCTTTGACGTGTATATCATACAGATACGATTTATACAAGCAGTCTCCATGATTCTAGCAATCCCAGGTGCATTTCTGTTAAATGTTGGGCGTTCTAACTACGAGACGTTTTCCCTATGTGCCGTGCACGTGGTCCACGAATAGAATCTACAAGGAATGACCTCCATTGGACACGTCCCCATTGCCGTTTACCGTATTTTGGAGGTCACATGGCCAAGATTTTACAGACAGCACCATAATCGAAAGGTGGCTGTGATTATTTGTGCTGTTACAAAGCTTCTGTTTACTGCATTACGCCTTCCGGGAATAATCGTGGGTCTATCCAACGACAGTGATGATGAATCGTACGATGACAATATGCAAGTGCTTAAGCGCACCTTGAGTAAAGGCGTATACACTTGTATAAGTAGTGTAGCATGTTCAGTCATTGACAAAGACGCTTCCGTAAACACTCGTCTGATGCTATGAGACAGCCACGCATTAGCGGAGGTTCTCATGGTGCGTTGCAGACTTACACAGCAGTTAATCTCTTTACAAAAGAAGCATTCACCGTGCTAAGCATCATTGAAGGATGTATGGCCGCCGCGGTTAATAGCTGTCAGAATGAAACCCCTTGTTTGGTACGGTCATTTTCCTCTGGTGGATTCAACGTGCAGACTTCTTGCAGCATTCTCTTTAATGACTAATACAGCTTAGGACAAAATGGTCGCATACCCGATATCTCCACATCCAGTACGAATGCAGCCCAGTGCACTGTACGACTGAGCTCAAAATATACGTTTCGTACAAGTACACTGCACCGCTTGCGTACAGAATGCTGGGTATGGGGCTATGCGACCATTTAGTCCCACATTGTACGACCAAACAAAAAACTAAATTGCGCTGAGTCAAATAGAATTTCCTTTCATGAGATCGCTATTCTGTCCTCTTCTTGTTAGAAAACGGCAAACGATTTCTCTCAGAAGCATATTCAAAAGCCTACTAAATAATGCCATTCTAAATAAACGATCGCGTTAAAAAAAACGCCATTTATATCATTCTCACCGGATCTTTTACCTTGAACGACATGTTACAAAGGACTAGACGGACATTATAGCATTTTATAAACTGTCAAGCATATATTTTTAGTATTCTTTCTTGTGTAGTATGCGACACGGCAACCCGTTATTTCTTTTTGCCGGTCAATTATGCTGCTGTTTCTGCATTACATCCGCCACGATCCGTTATGATGGAAGTTACATAACTTATGGAACGGTATGGTGTTACAAACTTACGGATCATCACAATCGCACTATAGCGCCCTTCTCAGCGATCGAACTGGCAAAGTTTAAAATATGAGTTTTGACTTTCATTTCCTTCTTTATTATTGTACAGGGCGACACCATAGTCTCCACATCTCACAATCACCGCGGCACCCGTGAGCCGCATCGGAAATGGAATGTCGAATGCCTTGACGGAGAAGCCATGGTGGGTAAGCACTGCAGTTGTCAATGGCATGAAATTAATCGTTTCAAAAGCATGACCTCGTTGCGTAATGGCAAACTAACTGCAGCGCTGCTGGTTTTTGTTTCAGGAATACAGTAAGTTAAGAAAATCGGGTATTGAAAAGCCTTTAAGTCTTGGTGGAATTACCCAGTTGTCCGTATTTCAGAGATTTCTACAACGATTTCATAGTAAGTACCAAGTATCCAGCCGTTGTTTTATATGTTGACAGTCGCCGTTGTATCACTTCCGTAAAATTTTCTTTTCGAAAAGAGGCTCGTCAACGTATGGTGCAAATTCATGTTCCCATATAAACCAGCCACCAATGGACACTACCCATATTATCCACAGTAGGTTGTGCAACAAGATGGTGCGCGTAATCGACAATGGTATAGATTGCGTGTGTAAATTAAGGCAGCCGTTAACTATTGGATATTTGTCTTCTTACTGCAGCTGCTTAATAAGAAATTTTACCACCGCCTATCATTGCTACGATCCCAGAGAGCCTGGTGTTAGCCAAAACACTTTTATTACCGGTAACTAAAATTTCCTTACAATAAACCATTTTATAATACCAACAGTGCTGTATCCACATGATAGACGTTTAAAAATCCAGAAATTTTTTCCAAATTCAGGTTTTTGGTCGTCCCATTACTCACCTTACATTGGACCCCCAAACGATAATTTCGTCAAATGCTGCCTGACACCCAGGGGATACTATATCGATTACGCGTCGTGCTGTGAGTTATTGTTACTGAAGACTACGAAATCGACTGTTACTACAGTACTTCGCCGGATAATTTCAAGTTCTTACAGACTATTTTCCCACGCATGATCAGTATTGGGAGTATTACGACTCCCTCTTCAATTTCATCGTCATGTGCTCTCAGGGATACGTGGCAACGGGACTGGCCTGCAAACTGGACCCTATTGGTGGAGACTACCATATTGACTGGATTCAGTGCTGCCGATTGGGGTATTTATGTAGTATTTTGTGTAGATGAATTATTGCCAATCCAGTAAAAACAGACAAAAAAAATAGGACCAATGCAGTTCCACATTGAGTTCTATAATGACGGATTCTGCTGAAACTGCTTACTTTTTTTCGTATAAAGTGTGCAAAGTGAACGGCCCATTGTACTGCTTCACAATAAAAACCAGCCCTTTGGCTCGTTAGGCAGTTAGCCATAACATTTATGAAATATTACCACCAATGGTCGATCAAACTGTCGTAAATTGTAACCAGGTGCCATTGCGTTTTTATAATTAACACTTTTACAAATACTGCAGGTATGGTGCGCCTTCGGCTGCTTCGCCTCCGTTGGTCAGCAGTTACAGTGGACATCCCGTCTATGTTGCCCGTGAGCCACATCAGCCTCTTCCCATCCCGGACAATTACCACGCTCAATACAAAATCACCTCGGGTGATGGTGATTTTTATTCCGATGCAAAAAATCCGGCGTCTGCCCGTGGCCTCGTACGACAATGGTTTCGTAATCTGCCCGCTTTGAACGATTCGTTGGAAAATGTGCAACACACAAAAAGACCGAGGTTGGCCTGATTGCCCTTATTACTGGAATCATAACCTCACTGTGTAGCATGGTGTTTTATGGTTATCGTTAGCCACTCGGATGCCGTTTGCGCTGATACGCTTGAAGTTAGTTTTTTTCTGTTAGTGGCATCTCTAATGTATCGCGCAGTATCCGGCAGATCAGATGTGGAAATTAGAATGGATAACAAGATTGAAAGCACTGATAAAGGCGCATTGAGTAACATGGTTGATTAGTGCTTCACCCAGGTGATGCTTTGGAACTTCGCTACCGTTCGGATAAGGAATTGCTGCACACCGAACTTTCGAATTTACGCAAAAGTCGCTGTTCCAAGCAGTCTTGGAGTAATCATATCTAAACAGAGAAGTTTCGATCTTTTTTTAGGTTTTTCATATCAGTTGCAAACATTTAGCGTGGGCAGGGCATAGCTACTAAGGGATACGGCACTCAAAACATTCAGTCCCCTGGAAACTGAATTTTTAACCATGAACGCATTCTTCGATATTTAACCCTTTCTTGTTCTACGAACTGCACTTTTGCCCGGCCAGTTTCTAGCCTGGAGCCCAGATAATAATGTGACCATATTGTATAGTGAACCCACTAATGTATACTATTTTTCATAGGATAACTTTTATTTCTCCCAACCCTCTAGGGATTTATGCATGGTTTTCGCCATGTAGTCGGATTGCTAGAAAATAAAAAGCGAAAGTTTTCGTTCATGTACACGAATTTGGTACAGGAGGCACCGGGTCACCTATCTTAACTGTCACCGCAAGTTAGAGTTCTGCATGCCGGACAAAACATTTTCTGCACTCAGACAATGAGTTACTGAACGCTAGGCCTACCTGAAAACTTTAAGGTAATAATTCGCAGCGATAATTTTAACTAGAAGAAATTTCCTTGTTATTATCATTTTTGGTCGATGTTTAGCTCCGTGTAGAATTTTTATTTTGCCATTCTTGCGAAAGAATATATCTCTTGGGAAAATGGGGCAGGTGAAGCGGTGGGCATGGCAGGATATCTGGAGAAACATTTCAACCGGCCAAATGTGACAGCTGGCGAACAGAGGCTCACGATAGTGAGGAAGATGAGGCTTTATTGTGTGATAGCAATAAAGTACAGCACAGTGCGTGAGCAAAATCATGACTGACAAGAATGATCGGCTGAATGAGCCGTAACATGGAAAATGCCTATCTGCGGCACTGGGCTGATCCAACACGAGCGAACGAACGCTGACTGGCCGAGACGTAAAGCCGTAGGCGTGGTAAGGCGTAGCCGAGCCAGAGTCGAGGCCGATACGGCGTACGAGAGCGAGTGCGACTCGGTGTGAGTCAGCACACCGGAAGCGGGACTGTCGCTGGCTGCCTACTCGTAGGCTGCCATGGCGACTGGCCCAACATGCCTCTGGGCGGGAGTCCGAGCCCCTGCGAAGGACCGGCCTAATACCGCTCCAGTGCTCGCTCCGCACACGACCCTATTGGGGTCGGTGGCTGCGCCTCGGAAGTGTCCGATGAAGGTCTCTCGGTGCCGCGTTCTCCTCCGGACCCGTGGTGGCGATACAACTCACGGCAGAAATCCGAAGGTCGGTCGGGTTTCTTGTTGGACCGGTGTAGGCTTCTGTTGATGAACATCCGTAACGGCAATAAAATGAAAGTAAAAATGAACACCAATCTCTCTCTCTCTTAATCAAACATTATTTCATAGTTAGAAAAACAGAAAACCAAAATCAAAGTCTTTGGTCCGGGCCTTTGATCCGGGGCTCATTCCGACATTATGACGTCCGTTATCGGGGTCTCCTGTCCACAAGGTGTCCGGTCATCCAGGTCCGAGGCATCGGTTCTTTGGATACCCGATGGTACCGGTTCATGCTTCATCGAGGGTCGGGTAAGAAACGGGCACGAAACTTACATCCGACCAATTGACTTTGGGTAAAATGTAGATCTCCGTGGTCGGGTGAGAAACGGGCTTGAAACTCACTTTCCGACCGGGGATCTTCCGGTTAAAGTGACTGGAACCCCATAGCCAGGTAAGACGGGCTTAGACTTACATCCAGCCGGGGTTCATAGGGTGAGCTGACGGGGGAGGCACTGTCGCTGTTTGCGAAAGCCGTAAGGCATCCTCCTTGGGTAAGGAATAAGACCTATTGGGTCCCTTGGTGGGGAATCGTCCGGTAAAATGCCGGAGTTCCGAAGTCTCGTCCTGACAAAAACCGTTATTTCGCGTCCTGTCGCTTATTGGGCAACGTGGACCGGTTGATTTCGGGCTCCGATGGGTTGAATCCGGGGTAGCCATGCTTTGTAGGAGGCAGCCTCGGGTACTGATTCTAAGTCCCGAGTCAACCTCGCTTACACTGGCAGATCGCTGTTTTAGCGGTCTGGTGGGAGTTCCGGGTTCATAAGGTGAGTTGATGGGAGAGGCACTGTCGTCTTTTGCGAATACCGTAAGGTACCCTCTCCAAGTGCGGGATAAGACCTATTGGGTCTTTTAATCGGTGAATCGTCCGGTGATCCGAGGTTCTATCCTGGCATAGCCGTGATGTCGTGTCCTGTCACCTATTGGGTAACAAGGACCGGTTAATGCCTGGTCTCTATTCCGGTCCGAATGATGGTATGGTCTCTGTGCGGGGGTCCGAGCCCTCATTCGGTTGGCTTCAGAGTTTTAAAGTCCGATGGTAGCCTCGGTGACCGAGGGTCAGGCCAGCTCCGGTTGCAGAATCAGAGTCCATGCTCAGCCTCGGTCGCTGAGTCTAAATCCGTGCTCAGCCTCGGTTGCTGAGTCTAAGTCTTTTGGCAGCTTCGGTACTCAAGTTAAAGTCCGGGTTATACCCTCGGCTGCACTGGCAAATGGGTACACTGATGTTCCGCTCGGCTGAAATTCCCAAGTTCGTCTCCTGTCACCTATTGGGTAACTCGGAGAGGATATTCGCCGGGGTTCGAAGGGTCAAGGCAGCCTCAGTACTCGAGGTAAAGTCCCGATGTACCCTCGGCTGTGATAATAGATCGCGGTCACGCGATGTGCTGGATGTTCTGTCCGGCCAAGATCCCAAATCCGTCTCTTGTTGCCTATTGGGCAACTCGGAATTTGGACTTTGAAGACTCAAGTCCGAGGGTCGGTTAGCCTCGGTATCCGAGGGTGCGAGCCCGAGGGTCGAAGATTCCGATGGTCGGCATCCAAGGGTCCGAGCCTCGGTCACTGGCGGTTGACAGTCCGATGGTCGTTCCATCTCAGCAAAACCCTTATTCACGATGTAGGTCGCCTATTGGGCAACTCTACCGAGGGTCTTACGGATAAGATGAAGTCGCTATCCGGGGCAGCCTCCGTGTCCGGGGTAGCCTCGGTGGTAAGGTAGAGATCGTGGTTATACGCGATCTGCGGAGGTTTGCATCCTCCGAGGGTCCTTCTGCCGGAGTTATGAGTTGAATCCGACCGCAGCCTTGGTTGCTAAGGTAAAGTCCAAGTCTGAGACCCTGCAGTCGGTCAGCTTTTTAAGTTTCGAATTCTTTCGTCCGGGCAAACCCGTCAATTCCGTGTCCAGTCGCCTATTGGGCAACGTAGACCGGATAAGGCTGGGCTTCGAGGGTTCAACCCGAGGGTTGCCAGGGGGTTGCTGAGTTAAAGTCCGAATGCAGCCTTGTAGCCCCGGCTGCCGAGTTAAAGTCCACTGGCAGCCCTGAAGCTTCGGCTGGCAGGTTGAAGTCTGTAAGAGGCCCTGCCTTCAGATCGTGGTTAGTCGCGACCTACGTTGGCGAGGGTGAAGGCTCCGTTCTGGGCCGAACTGGTGACAAGTCGTGGTTACAGACCGCAATCTGCGGTGATTGGGTTGTTGATGCCGGAGGCTCCGCGCGTCTGGCGGATGCTGTCCGGGGGAAACCGCGGAAGACGTTCCGGTACGGTGCAAGCACTGAAATTCTGACGGCTGCACCCGTAATTGCCGGGTCAATCCGGGGGATCCATTCGTGTCCGTGGTTGGGCATTCTGCCGGGTCGGATTTCCGATGTTTCATCCATGCGAATCCCTTAATTTCGTCTCCCGTCGCCTGTTGGGCAACATAGAGAGGGTTGTCGCTGGACTTGGAAGTCTCGATCGGGTTATCCTCCATGTCCAAGAAAAGCTCGGTGACCGGGTTAGCCTCAGTCTGGCCTTTGGCAAAGCTGAATCCTCGGTATTTTGCCGCGCAAAACCCTTAATTTTGTCTCCAGTCGCCTATTGGGCAACATGGAGAGGGGTATCACCGGCCTTCCGAGGTTAGATGAGGGTAACCTCGGTGTTTGAGGTTAAGGCTCTAGGCTGGAGTCCGATTCCGGCTCCGATGAATTTTTGCCTTCTGGTCGGGACGGAGGCTCCTATTGGGAGCCCTCCTGTCACCTCCAATGGGGTTCTTTTTCGGTGTTCGATGCTTACTGACCTAGAGTTGATAGGGCTTTGATGTTCGTTCAAGGGTGGATTGGGACTTAGAAATTTCTACGAGGGTTGAGTTGGACCTATTGGGCCTCAAACTCCGGAAACTTTAAGGTCCGGGCGGTTATTAGCGATCCATCCGTTTATTGGCTTAGTATGGTTGAAGACTGCGACGTAGCAGTTCGTGGTTAAACGAAGCGATCTGCGGATGGGATATGGTCGCGGAGGTCTCCACGGACGGCCGTACTTGTGGCGGTCCTTTGTTGCTTTTCTTCGGTAGCAGAACTTGGTTAGCCGCGAACTGCAGGTCAGACATCGTTGGCTCGGCAAAGGCTCCGTTCTGGGCCGGTGATGGTAGCCAAACGTGGTTGAGGACACGATCTGTGTCATGAAGGTTGTTGGTGCCGGAGGATCCGAACGTTCTGCCGAATGCTGTCCGGGGGAAACCGCGGAAGACGTTCCGGTACGGTGCGAGCACCGAAATTCTGACGGCTGCACTCGTGTTTACCGGGTCGATCCGGGGGATCCATTTCTTCGGATTCAAAAAGTTAACCCTCGGAGGGTGGAGTGGGACTTAGGCTTCTCCACCGAGGGTCAGATTGGACTTAGAATTTTTGAGGAGGGTTCAACCACCGTATCCCTTATTGAATGTCCGGTTGGGTAGCAGAGGCTGGTTGATACGATCTGCGCTTCTGGTCCATTCTACCACCGTATCCCTTATTG